TATATAATATTATATATATTGATTTATATAAGCCATTCTTAAATTTAAAATTTCACCAGGCTGTTAAGAACTTGTGCCAAACTTCTGTTTTGCATTTTTAAACCCAAGTTTGTATGCAATATTCAGTATTAAAAGATAAACATAATGTCACAGTTTCTTTCAGCAGACAAAGCCATTGATAAACAAACAGGTGAGGGTTTCTCTTCAGGAGCTAAACTGAAATACAAACTTGGCCATAAAGGTTTTCATTTTAGAGACTTTTCCTTCTCCCTTTGTAACTTCTGATCTATATCATTTTAGAAGTATAATAAACCCAAGAGGAGCCCTAGCTATTTCCTTGGCCCATACTACATGTAGCATCTGCATCTCTTGTCCAAAGCTGAACAGTTATTTCAGTAATCCTATGGCTCCTCTGTTCATCCTTCCTTCTTGGCTTCTGCAGTTAGCCTGGCGTGACTGAGTCTGGTTAAAATAACCTCTTGCCATTTGACCTTTTTCTTCAGGACTTCTTGACCGATTTGGTGATGTCTGAGGTAGATCGTTGTGGAGAGCATGATGTCTTGATCTTCAGGGAGAACACACTTGCTACCAAAGCTATTGAGGAATACCTAAAGTTGGTAGGGCAGAAGTATCTTCACGATGCGCTAGGTAAGAAAGTGCCTGTCTGTCACCCGTTTGCATTGCAAGAGCTAACCCTGAACTTTCTACAGCATGACTGAAGCCTCGTGCATCTAGGAATGTGGGATGGGAAGGAACTGCCTCAGCACTCAGCCCGGGTCTCTGGTATCCAAATAGCAAAATACATGCTATCTTACTCTTGAGGCCCTTCCTCCACGCAGAGGAAAATGCTCTTTGGTGCGTGCAGGAGTAGTGCCCAAGGAAAGGCAAACTTGATTTGATACAGCCGAGCCCCTCTTAAAGTTTTTATCACTACATTATGTTTTTCTGGGTAATCTTGTGTGTCTGTAGTTGTGATGAAGAGGTGCAATACTGCAGTCGTTTTGTGGGCAACGGTGATTGTTCGATCTGATGCATGAACAGGTTTAAAAAAGGGATTTTGACATGTAGTTTAACAGTGGAAATTGAGACCGATACCTTGTATTGTGTCAGTACTGCATGGTATCACATGCAGTACAATTAGGTGGAGATTTCAGAGGGAGTTATGAATGTGAAGCATGTATTTCACTAATCTCCTTGTATGCTAAAGAAGCTCCTGCACTCACTTCAGGCTGAAGTGCTACCACCCAGGGGGTTAGATATACTCAGAGGTATCTGGTTGACAACCAAAGTTCTCATCCACAAGTATGTATTGCTAGTGCGTCTTCGGTCAGTCTCTTTCACTCACTGTTGTAGTTAACAGCAAATGTTAGCTGTGGTGTTCACAAGCTTGGGTTGAATGCATATAATACAAGACAATTCATTGCCAGATGCTTCAGCTGCAACTGTTGGTAATGCTGGCACGTTCCAGAGTGACCCTTGGACTTGCTCAGGCCTTACCTTTGCCACGAGCAATTAATTCATAAACATTTGTGTTAATCTTTTAAATTGATACCTTGCCCCAACAAAAATCCTTAGACAAACATGGCCAGGGGGAGCGAGGCTCCAGGGCTACTGAGCAGCACAGGGCAGGAGGTGGAGATACAGACTGTCTAGGGAGCCTCCTGCCTGCGTTTATCCAAAGTGCTCTTTATTCACTGCCTCATTAAAACTATCTGGCCAACCTGAGATGTCCTACTCCATTCTCCCCGTGGGGTCTTAATGTCCAGGGTTATGTGCCGGGGTGGATTCTAATAATCATATTATTGTCCCCTCTCCACCAAAAGGCTCTGCTGTAGTCATAAGCCATTGCTTTGGGAATTAATGTCCACGCAACTAATATTGCAATAAAGAGGACTGAAAACATGCATGCTCTCTTCTGAAGAAATTCACAGCCTCGCTAGAGCTAGCTGTTTACCAACTCCACACAATCTTCTTACCCACAGTTGCACAATGAGCCACCCATCCCCCTGTTGTTTCTTGGATGAAGAAAGCTGTGGAAATTGATACAAGAGAAACAAGATCAGGCCAAAGCCCAGTCCCATACCACATCCTTTCAAAAAAAAAAAAAAAAAAAAAAAAGAGAAAGCAGCAGCAGCTTGCTTTCCCAGCAGTCTCGCTTGTCCTCAGCGATCCCAGACGCTGGCAAGTCATCAAGGAGATAGTTGGCTAAATTAGTGCTCCAAGGGTCAGTATAGTCAGGTCTGTGATTATATGCGTTTTGGCCGTTTCTTAAGTGTAATGAGCCTCTTCTGGTTGTCTTATGGGTGGAACCGCTGCACACAAGTCAGAGTCCTAGGCTCTTGCTTGGTATGGAGAAATAAGCAGCATAATACTTTGTACTATGCTCTTCAGGAGACTGAATGATCAGCTGTGGGACCAGTAGATTACATTTGACTGCAAGCCCCTTAATGTGCAGTAATTACATAAAAATATTTTAAAATTAATGACTTCTAATACATCATTTGGAGCATTGGTGCTGAGTGATAAGATTGTAAATCATAGACATGAGAGATGGAAAAATCCCCCAAAGGTCTTCCAGCTCGTCTGTAGCTCAGGGCAAGATTGCTCATGACAATGTAGCCATCTAATTCGTTGTCAAGTTTTAAATGTCATTTTGCTCAGATGCCATGTTCTTTGAAAGGATTAGCAATATTACACTTGGTGTTAGCTATTTAATACAACTGTAAGAACATCTTAATGTATGATTACGGCAGGGTCTTGTGGACCACAAAGAGTAAGTTTAAAATGTGTTTAAGGAAAAAAAAATTATCCAGTAAGCAACAGTAAAACCAGAATTGTCTCAACGGAAGTGATGCTGAGAGTTTTGCAAAAAGATGCCCTCAGGAGAAATCTTTTGGACCTTAACAAAAAAAAAAAAAGCTTAAGAATATTTGCTGCCTGATTTGCTTGCAAGAACACTGCTGACCTGAGATTCGAGGAGGGGGGTTGGGTGTTTTGGGCTTTTGAGAAAACAAAGACAAAAAAGCAAAATCGTTTTGTACAAACAAGCCTTGTGGCCTTAGCTTGGAGCCAGGAAGATCATCTGAGGAGATGAACTCAAAAGACATTGAATCATTAAATGAATGAATAAAGAGTTTTTCCTAGTGAACAACAGTTTAAAAATCACTTGGTGTGCTAGCATATATAGGAGGAAAACTAGTAAGTAGTTCATTGCAATATGTCAAACAAAGGAAACCTCATCTGCTTTTTTAAGTGTTCAGTTTCTGTTGTGATGCTATAAGAGCAGTGTGACAGAAATGCAAAGGATTTTGAAAGATGCAGGCTATGTAAATGTTGCAAAGTGTTGATAAGAGGTTGAGAAAATTAGCAGTATGTAGCTAGTACTCAGGTATTACTCTTATTCAAGATCAAGGTGACACTTCTTAAAATTAAAAAAAAACTGTTAAATTTAGAAATAATAAAAATAAATTGCATTGTCGAGTGCATTTCCTGAGGAAATTATGAAGACAAATAGCACAGCTTCATTTCTAAGACTGGATAATTTTATAGTTGATAATACAGTTTGAATACAAAGTCAAATCCTATTGTTTAGGCTATAAATGAAGTGTCTGCAGGGGTTATAAGCAAAGCCATCCTGTTATTGCACCTGTATTTGGAGCAAGCGAGGGCACGGGAGGCTGAAGCATCAGAGCACCAGCTGTCGGATCTGGTACGGCAAGTGCTCTGTTCCGAAAGGTCTGGGAGGAGTCGTGTCCCCAACATCTGGTGTCTGGAGGCTGTATTGCAGACACGGGGAGCCGAAGAGGCAGTTGCCAAGGAAAGACATAAGCAGGATTTAAAGGTGTGTCAAGGAGGCTTTTCATGTAACTACCCTGGTTTGTCATCCTCTTCCCTTTGTCCAGGGGAGTTTATCAAGGCTTTGTACGAGTCAGATGAAAACTGTGAAGTGGATCCCAGCAAATGTTCATCTAGTGAATTAACAGATCATCAGAGCAACCTGAAAATGTGTTGTGAGCTGGCCTTCTGCAAGATTATCAACTCTTACTGGTGAGGCATTTCCCTTCCCCTTCTCCCCCATTAGGTCATTTGCTTAGAGGGTGCCCATCCCTCCTCTGAATATAAGAAAACAACAGTTGTACAGGGATACAGCATAGATCCATCTGTCTTCTGAGACTGCCTTTGTTTCCCTTCCTCACTACCTTCCTACGTGTGACACCATATTGCAGGTGGAACTTGTGCCCAAATTGGGGACTTCCAGTCCCACACACTGTACCTGACAGGAGCTTCTGCTGAAATACTTTGCCAAAGGAACACATACTGAGCTGTGGCTGAATACAGTAAGAAGATAACAGCTTAGCTTGAACTTGGAATAAAAAGCTGGAAGTTTTGATGTCTATAGAAAACTCTCAGACCCTTTAGATCTGTAGACTTGAACAGGAAATCACAGGGAGGAAATGTTGGCAGAGGGATTTCTATCAATCTCTGTTTCTGAGTAGTAGTGAAAGAAGAAGGGCCTTTCTGCCTCAGGATGAAGCACATGCGAACTATTTAGAGAGCTTAACAAGCAAAATAAGAATGTTATTTGTGGAGGTGAGTTCAGTTTGGTTTTAGTACTCTAGCACCCTGTTTGCTCCAGGGTAGCGATGGATAAGTAGTTCTTAGCTCGTAAATCAGCGTGTCTGAAAATGGCTTCACTTAACGTATATGAGCAAGGGATGCCTTAAAGACTACTTAAGTATCACCAGATTAAATGGGAGTCTAAGAATAGATGCCCAGTGACATTTCCTAGCCTAGAGAAAGAAAAGGGGCTGGGGGGGAAGAGCCAAAGATGTTTTCTCACAGATAATTATTTCAGGTGATTGGTCACCAAGTTCAGCTTGTTGCATCTTATTGCCCATGCGATTTTATTTTCTGGTTTCTTGTTTTTCAGCGTGTTCCCTCGTGAGCTGAAGGAGGTATTTGCATCTTGGAAGCAGCAGTGCCTGAGCAGGGGCAAGCAGGACATCAGTGAACGCCTGATCAGTGCCTCCCTTTTCCTCCGCTTCCTGTGCCCCGCTATCATGTCCCCCAGTCTCTTTAGCCTCATGCAGGAGTATCCTGACGACCGGACATCTCGCACCCTCACACTTATTGCTAAAGTCATTCAGAATCTCGCCAACTTTGCTAAGTAGGTGGTGGCAATAAAACTGAAATCTCTGCCTCTCGGGGTGCAAGTCACTGCAGGTTACTGTGGAGCAAGGAGAGCCCTGCTTGGTCGTCATGTTTGCAGGCAGCTGATTCTCTGTCAAATTGAAGTCAGCTTTGGAAAAGGAGGAGACTTCTCGCTTATATGTGAATGCTGTTCCCCTTGAGACACCTCAGTGTTGAGCTAGATAAATTCTCCTTTTCACATGCAGATTTGGGCTGTGTTGAATTCAGTAGAGGGGACACAGTATAAAACCAAGAAGAGATGTGCATTAGCATGTCAGTGTTTATGCTATTTCAAAAGAAAAAAAAAAAAGCCTGTTCCCATCAAGGATCATGATTTTCCTCCTTTCTTCCTCCAAAATTCCCAGCTGAATGACACAAAGGGCATGGCATAAGGACGCAAAGGGCATGGCTGGGGCCTTGGGGGGGGGGGGGGGAGCAGTGTGGGTGCAGAGAAGGGGAGAAAGGGTGTCTGGGGCAGGGGGGGGAGGGAAGATGTGTCGAGCCCTTAATCATAATATGAACAGTGAATTACTAGTATTTAAGTAAGTCCAAGAAAGCGGTGAATCAAATTGTCCAATTTTCTTTTTCCTCCTAGAGTAAATCTTCAGAAAGGCAGGTCTATTAAGCCTTTCAGTCGTTGTCTGTAAGCAGTTGTACTCTGTATTTTGTGTGGAGGGTATTGACTGAGTCTCCCCCCGCCCTTTGTTGCAGGTTCGGTAATAAGGAAGAGTATATGGCCTTCATGAATGACTTTTTGGAACATGAGTGGGGAGGAATGAAGCGTTTTCTCCTGGAGATCTCTAATCCAGATACCATTTCAAACATGCCTGGATTTGAGGGCTACATCGATCTGGGCAGAGAGCTCTCAGTTTTGCATTCCCTCTTATGGGAGGTTGTGTCCCAACTTGATAAGGTAAAGTAGGCTGGAGGCCCGGGAGGGTGAATCCAGTGATTGTATCGTAGCAACAGTAAGCACTAGCAAACATCAAGGGAGCAGCTGAAGCCTGCTTTGGGGAGAACTTATTCAGAAGCTTTTGAAAGGAATGTTTGATAGTGGTATTTCACAATTGTACTTTCCGTGATTTCACATCAGGACCTAAAGAAGGGCATGTGAAGTGGTTGGGCTTCAGCAGCAGTGCAAACACTTCGCAAAGCCTTAAGTAAGGCTGGATTGTTCAGTGGTGGAGAGGGCAGCGCTTAAAAGTAGACCTGGAATTCCCTGAGCAACTGGTCCTTTCTCATAAGTGAGCTGGAAAAAAGGGAGGGTGTTCAGACACAAAATGAAAATGTTGCAGTGCCCTTTTTGATGCTAATGGAGCTGTTTTGCTGCACACCAGGCCCTACCCTGCCCAGCTCTGATGGAGTAATGTGTTGGCCAGGCAAAACTCTTCTCATTAAAGACCTGATTCAAAGCCTGCTGGGGTGTTCTCATTTCTGTAGTCTTTGGATTAGTTTTTAGTGTGCAAGAGGATGCCATGTAAACACCTGGTCCCACTCTCAGTTTTATCCTGTAAAAAAAGCGAGATGCTTTCTGCCATGTATTGTGGTGGGGTCATACGTGTTGTCTACATTCTGTTCGGCTGATCACAAGAGACATCGGCAACAATAAGCATTGCTTCCATTTAGCTATAGAAGGAGAAAAGGCAGTAGTTTGCTCTTCTTCTTCTATGTGGCTTTGCAGGATCCAAAATCATTAAAACCTTGATATCAAAGGTAGTTGATAAAACCCAGAAAAGCTGAGCTGTGAGTCATTGGGGGTTTTTTTTGCAAGTTCTTGGAACTGTTCCATATTTCAACTTTTAGAGGTGCATTATTTTGTCCATATTCCATTTGTATTATTCTTTCTTTTGAAACTGGAGAGGTGAGGTGAATTGCAATGCACTCTTAATACTTTCATTGCATTGAGGTTTGCCAAAATAGTTATTTGTTGGATATCTATTTTCTCACAGTACATTACTTAAAACAGAAAACAAGAAACTGAGCTTATTGCATCAGAGTAAATTGCAATGTCCTTGACTGAAAAAGGCAATATGTATTAATCTTAGTTAATCATAGTTTGATAACAATTTATGGTCTTGTTTTTCCATTTCCCTCATACATGCACACAGTGTACATTCAGAATGTCTCAGGCAGCAAAGTCAGCTATAAAGACGGTCCAGCTCAGGAAAACAGGCAAAGTGAGCCCTCAAAAGACCAAATCCTCCATTTCTACAAATTGGGGTAAACCCACCAGCGCAGGGGACACTGCTGTCTCCCTCCAGCCGGTCAGACATCAGGTCAAGAGAAACCCAGCTCCAGTCTTTAGAACTGCAAATGGATCTTCAGACTTGGTGCTAGTTACTGTGAGCTGCTCTCTGAATGGAACAGTCGTAAATGTCTTGGGCAGTGAGGAAACGGAGGAGCAAGACCTGGATAAACGGTCAAAGCAGATCTGCTTTATCCTTTTTGTAGGTTAGATGCATGGATCTACCCTAGCAGGCCCTGGGGAGCTGGTATAGTGGTTTGCTAAAAAGAGAATTAAGGGGTAGAGTTACATTGCAATACTTCTTTACTGTAGGTGAGGACTGGGAAGTGATGAGAGAAGTCACCTCAGAGATTTTAACAGACACAGAAGTGCTATATGAAAGCGTCTTTAAACAGACCTTTCTCTGGAGCCAAACTGACTGACTACCTGCTTGCAGGGAAAATAAGGATACCATTGAAAAGAGCATCGTCTTTTTTAGCAGAGTTTTACTTTCTTATAAACCTCCAGCACTTTCACCTTCTTCCTGCAGTCCCGAGAGCCCGGACGTGCCCTGTAGATGATAGAACCGGCAGTGACCCAAAGCGGGGAGAAAGATAAAGAGCCTGAATGAGCACCCTTCCTTGCTGGAAGGTCAGCTGCTCTTATCCTAGGCCTGGCCAACACTGAGCTAACATGTAATTGAACAAGAAGCTACACATTTCATTCCAGGCTGATGTGATAATGTTGGGATGAGGATCATTGATGTTTTCATGCAGTTATTTTTCACTTTTAGGTAGGGAAGAAAAGCTTAATTGTTGATAGTGGGATGCTACAGAAGATGGCATCAGTGTAGGATGCCAAAAGCGAAAGGCTTATTTAATGAAAACCTTCCCTTTCCCCATCTCCCTCAACCCTTGCGATTCTCTCATGATCCCCCTGAACGCCGCATCCCCTTGTCTGTTGGCATGCATTTCCTTTACCACATGACACCCTTTGCCTGGAAAGTTCCCCCCACTAGCTGAATCTGTAGTCTTTGAATGCCCTTTAATGAGTAGATACTGTAGTTTTCACTTTGACCTCACCCTGGACTTAGTTTGCTTTGCATGATAGTTTTGCATTGGAATGGCAATAGTTTTGTTTTATTGAGCATGATTTTTATTTTTGGGGGTCAATCCTAATTTCTTTTCTATTTCCTTTTCTTTCCTCAATGTCTGCTGCACCCCGTTTCGTCTCCTCCATCCATCTCGTCGCCGTGGTTACGCTGCTCCGTAACACTGCATTACGGTCCTGGCACACCCGCACACAACCACCCACCCTCCTTCCTTCCACCTCCACCCTTCCGCCTCTGTGCATCGTTATCAAAAAAACTGGCGGATGTCGCGGTGCTTGTTGTCCAATTAGGGTGAAAATTCCTTCCTACAGGCGACCGTGGCAAAACTGGGACCTCTTCCTCGTATTCTTGCCGATATCACCAAATCAATGACCAACCCCACGCCAATACAGCAGCAGCTGAGGCGTTTCACTGAGCACAGCTCTAGTCCAAACGTCAGTGGCAGTCTCTCCTCAGGGCTTCAGAAGATATTTGAGGACCCCGCTGATGGGTATGTAAGAGCTAGAGCTCAAGGGAAGATGCGGGATAAGGGGGTGGTTAAGCCTGTTAAGAGCCTGCTTCATTGCCTGAGCTGTCTGCCCGGGCCTGCTGTACGAGCTGGGAGCTAAGGCCTCTGCCACGGGGAATACACAGTCCCAGAGAGAGGGTGCACAAGGTGGCACTGGAGACCTGAAGCTTTTGACTTACCCAGGATGCAAACATCTGTCTGGGAGTCAATGACTTCAGCTGCTGAAAAACCATTTTGCAATTTACTGCCAGTCTGAGTATCCGGATGCATAGTCAGCCATAATGTTTCCTTCTGGCAGTCAGGCCACTTATTTCCTGCTAATGAAAAAACTGGGCTGTAGATGGAACTTGTTACCAGTGGAATAGCAAAAATAGTCCCCGCTCTGTTTAGTGCAGCATTTCTCGCACTGTAATAGCTGTTAATCTAAAGCAAAAAGCTGTGACAGGGCAAAACTCCCAAAGAGTTTGGATATTGTGGTCTCCAAGTAGTTTCTGTGCTGTCAGGTATGAGGGCCAGTTTTGTCACGTGGAAGTGTCTGCCTTCTGAGCTTATATCCAGAGCTACAAGAGCCTTCACGCAACTGCTGAATCTTCACACACCCACAATACATAATGCTGGCAAAGGGTTAAATGGGATCAGAACTGTTCTAAAATCTTTCTGGAGACAGAACTGTCTAAGGGGGGAGGATTCGGTGGGAATGGTTTGCATTTCACCTGTGAAACAACGAAGATGAAGCACTACTTGAATCAAACCTAATTCCCAAAGATAAGTGGTAATTAAGTTAGAGTGTGTTCTGACTTGAACACAAAGAGCTCGTAAAAGGAAATCGGGTTCCTTGAAGATTTCGGGGCGGGGGGGGGGAAGGGTTAAATCAGGTAGAAAGACTTCTCTGGGACAGATCTCTCTGGGTCTCGGCTGCTTAAATACTAACCAAATTCTTTTCCACTCTGCAGTGACTTGCATAAGCTGAAGTCTCCAACCCAGGAAAATGTAGATGGATATTTTAGGGGCAAGACCTTACTGTTGGTTCAGC